GATAAGCGGGCGAGTGCAATCTACACCACTTGGAACTTGGACGAGCCCGTAGCACACGTGACAGAACATATAACTCAAGGAGCAAGCAATCCTGCATTCAGAGCTTCGGTTGCCTAGGCCTGACTGAAAGCGAAAAATAAGTCAGAAACAACTATTCCAGCAATCCTCCCCTACCCCTCCCGAAATTATTGCCGGTGGGGGCCTACAAATACGGTGCTTTTCAAACACCTGGGAACCTGTCCTATTTAGTTCAGAGGATGACGGCGCACAATTATGTTTCACAGTGTGTTAAAAAGTAGGACAGTAATGGAAATCAAAGTTGGAGACTGTCATTGTCTCTTTATACAGAATATGTTTTGGTAAACATAAGATAGGCAGCTTGTCTGACATCGTGCTGGACCGTAACTCTAAAGCAGTTCACTCGTCGTCTGAATGTGATTGGATTAGACTTTCGATGGAATTTTATGCAGGCATCGTAACAGGCTCCTGAATTACCTCATATTTAGGTAAGGTTATAACAGAAATAACACAGGGCATACAAGAAACTGAAACATGTAGCAAAACTACTGCAAACAAATCAAGCAAGGCTTTAATTCAAGTAATTAAACTAACCCGCATCCATTGACTTTGCTAAACATCGGTAGGTATTCCTCACTAAACGGATCGCTTTGTCATCAGGCTCTCCCACAAAAACCGTCTCGTTCACATCACCATGGAAACCTCCGAAGTAGGTTGTGATGTCGACTAGAGGGGAAAATAGTCAAAAAAGAACTGTCAAATGACTAATTTGTAAAATAAATGTGAAGAAATGAACCGCATACAAATTAGCCTGTGCACACTGAATAAATTAGCTAGTTGGGTGCTTCCCCAAGTGGGTTTTTTGCACTGTACCGAAGCTCATTCCCAAAAACATATCTTGGATAATTGCCCTACTAAGGACTGCCCACCTCTTGTGTTTAGTCCCTCGGGCGAGCAGTCTTCTACGTCAGTCACAACAGTGAAGAAGTCACCAGGGCAGTAGAAAAACGTAATCAACCCTACACTGTCATGGTAATGACCATACACCAAATGGTACCCCTTCCGTCATCAAATTTAGCCACTGACACACACACACACCATGCGGGTTTTCAACTAGCATGCTCAGTTTGTCCAATCTTATTTGACACGACAGTCCTTCTACTACACGTATACGCAGTTTAATACTAGGTCCCAAAAACTGATGGCATCGGTAAACACTGGTTCCTTCGTAACCTTGTTTAAATTTGTTCCGGAAACAGAACACCTCAAAACTTATAAACTAATGATTGTGATGATAAACATACCTCGCATAAAAACCAGGGCTAGCTATCATATAGCGATAAAAACTCACAAGAAACGGTGCCATTAAATACTGATAAACGGGATAATTGCACACTTTCCATTCACTAACAACTGAACTAACTTTCAAAGACACGTATCTGCGTTTAAGTAGAAAAAGAAAACAACTGAATGATCTATTCTGCCGCCTTATTTTGGCCCCCTGGGTTAACAGCCGTTCGCTCAGAGTAGCTATGGCAGTACCAACGGCTGGGAGAGTGGATTTCGTCCTCGTGAAAGGCAGAGAACCGTTCCATAACCACAGGTTGACTCTTTAGGTTTAAAATGACTTCACCCTTCATTAAAAGAAGGCAGGTTTCAATAGGCAGAATGCTCTGGGGAAAACCGGATATCTGCAATCTAACGCAGCTGACAAAATTTGATCATTTTGGTGAATACAGACTTATTTCTTTGTACTATCTAACATGTGCTGATGGCAGCCAGATCTCGCGGCGTAGATAAGTTATTTTCACTTCCCGCTGGACGAAGTGATCTCTAACACATTTTATAGCACACAAATTCCTTGAGCGACGCGGACCTTAAGCATCAAAGCACAGGATATCAGTGCTTGGCTCATAAAACTTGCTTTCAAAATAATTCTTATTTACGTAATTGTTTTTGCAATAATAGCACGGGAAACTAAAGATACACAACCAGCACAGTTTTTGCAACCATAAAAGACATACATGACGCAAAAAATAAACGACTTGATAGTTGATAATCGCCACTAACAGATAGTAGGGTACCATATACAGGGTCACGAATGAAAAAGGACTTACTATTTAGAATGTCTCCGTTGGCAAGAGGTCGAGAATCGGGAATACCGTGGCAAATAACCTCATTGATAGAACTACACAGAGCATAAGGGAGACATGAAGAGAAAGATTCGTTGGCCTACGTGCAACAAGATTTCGGAAAGTTGAAGTAGTTAAGTGGGGAGGGATAGCATTCACGTTCAATACAGGCCTGAGGTAAAACGAGAAAAAAACATCATATTAACGACATTTTATCAATCAGTTGTTACAAGCATCAAAAGTCGTGCATTTAAAAGGTCAAAATGCAAGAAGTCTTTGGAGATTCTCAAACGTCAATTGCAAAATACAGAAAAACAGACCACGGGGCTGCAATTCTTCAGACTTGTCGCGGCGGCACAAACGCCGGAGAGGTAAAAAAATGACTGCCGAAACGAAAATTGCTTTTTTCGGGGACAATATTAGCAGCTACAGCCCTGGCGTACGATGACCTGTAGCAGCTGCTCCAATGGCCCCTTTCTCTGGCACCCCAATGCCAGCGGCAAGCCAGCCAACCGACAGACGCCCCCCAGGGTTAACCTAGCAGCTGTTTCCGTGTCCCCCTTTTCGC